GCAAATGAAACAGGAAAAGACATCGCGCAATTATAGAGAAGTAAATTACGAAAAAAGAAGAGAGGTTTCGCGTTAAATTTACACAGTGATAAGATGCAATTTTCACGAGAATTTGGCTTACGCATAGTTCTATTGATTCTATTTTCCACATTTCCGGCTTTATGTGATTTCCAGTAGAATAAAWWTCATTTGCACTCACCTTCTTCCAGCCCGAAGTGTACCACTGGGGCGGGCAATTTTCATTTCCACAGGATCTTGTAGTTTGCGGTTTGTTCTTTCGTGGACAAGCATCCATAGGATATTGTTGGTACATTCCTCCTACTTTACCAGCGCAGAACACGGACCTCGTTTGTACGCCCTTGCCGCATTCGAGTGAACACTGAAAAAAATAACGAGGAACAAATTCATCAAAACCAGAAAGATCTCATCTCAAAATAAGTACATTTACACAGATACGTTATTGAGTACTAGTAAAAAGGTCATTCGGGACACTACAACGGTTTAAATGAAGCCTAAAGCTTATGTCTTCCTAGCTCGGGGAGGGGGCCAGTTGCTGTTAAAAAGAATGAAGTCCATCATCAGTGGGGCGTGGTCRTAMTTTGATTTGAGAAAATATCAGATTAAATTGTTTATCTTTCCTAACTCCTAATAGTCAGGCACGTTTAWTTATCTTATTGTTACTACCAAAAATTCTTCCAMTTGCTCTTACCTCGCTCCATTCTGACGTCATCCAYGTTGCTTGACATTTACCTTGGTTACAAGCCCTCGATTCTGTAGGTTTCTTAGCTTTGCAATGACTTTGAGGTAACGACGCGCCACTTCCACGACCACAGAACACGAGACGATGCTGTTTGCCTTCGCCGCACTCCGCAGAACACTAAAAGATTATTAAAAAAATTGAACACACGAGACATTTCGTATTCATCGTCGTTTAACACTGATTAACTATCTATAAAAATTATCCCTTTTTGCTGTAAGCTAAAGTAAACAAACGTTTCGGTGGTGATAGCAAGAGTCTCTCCCATTCATCATGCATGTTTCATCATTGAACACACAACACGCAATACCGTTTTGCAAATACAAAGTCAATTGCAAGGAGAGATGATAGTTCTTCTACCTTTGACCACCTTGACGCTCTAAACCARTACGTCTCACATGATCCTTTGTTGCATCTTCGTGCTGTTGCAGGTTTCTTGGCTTGTGCACAAAGCCTTGAACTGACTGTCGCGTTCGTATTCATATTGATGCAATTGACTTTTCTTGACTGCATGCCGATACCACAAGTCACAGAACACTAAACGGGTAAGTATGAAAATGATTAATATGGCTTAAGAAATACGAAAGAAAAATATGGTTTACATCTAAGGAAAAGAAGAATAATGATATGAAAAATAGGGAAAGAAAGGAAATCCGGAAGAACAAAAGGAATGGATGAAAGAAGAAGAAACCGAAATGGAGAACTGATAAATGATAGGCACGTTCTAATTCCATTTAATTCTGATCAAATCGAAAACCTAGTTTCCATTTCTCTGCAAATCTCTCACCTTTTCCCAGTCTTCCGATTTCCACTTGGTCGGTATTGGACAAGGAGCATTCTTACAGGGCCTGGTAACTTGTGGTCGAGACCACTGTGGRCATGATTTTATAGGCAGCATCTTGTCTTTTTGTTCTCCGTTCTCATCTACCAACTGTTTGCAACGCAGATTACGAATTTGGATCCCATCAGCACATGTTTTGGAACACTTTAGCCACTCACCAGGTAACCACCTAAAAGCAACAACATGTCATTCAACTAGTAACAAAAAAGGCATAATAAACAGACAGACAGACAGACAGACAGACAGAAGAGATGGGAATCAGAGCTCTCAAATAGCACACGAAGCCCAGTGAGAGCTTTGCTTGTACCTTGGAGGGCATGGTTGTAGATTACAGACTCTTTGACGTGGTGCAGGCTTCGATGCCTGGTTGCAGAACGATTCTTGGACACGGGTGTTGGACGCTATTCGTACGCAATGGTAAATTGTCGCTTGCTCTCCTGCAGAATAGAAAACAAGACTTTTACTAAGGCTGTAAAATTGCGTAAGTGAGCAATACCATCCAATGAATATTTCTCACTCACCTCCAGCACAAGACTTTGAACAGCGAGTAAACCCAGCTAATTTCCATTGACTTTCAGGTTCAGGTGGTGGTCCAGGAAGAGGCGCAATACCTTGATCTGGTCGTCTTTCCAGGCCTTGTGTTTGTCTGTTCCCATTGGGTCGACCTCGATGGTTGGTTTGTCTATGATGATTGGGCTGGGCTGGCAGGGGAACACGTGACCGRTCCTTGGGGAAATCCACTGGTAGGTAGTATGAGAACATTATATTGGGWTCATCCCCTTGGTATATTATCTTAAAATAGAATATATACAATGGTTGGGGTTCAGTTATTCAACTACGATTCGTGACTGTAATCAACCCACCATGACGTCCAGAGCCTCTTTAGTCGGTCCATCCGACACAATCGCTTCGTTGAATTTCTGATTTCGCTTTGGTCTTTTGTAGTAGAACCTTGCCCCTGCTATCCTATAACCACGTGGTAGGTCAATCACCCAATTACCRTTCAGATARTACTTRTCCTTGTTATGAGCCTTYAATGCTAGRRAYAAGCRGAAAAGTCTATGAGGTAATTMTTGGAACGTGKATCATTGGATCACCGAATGTGGATCACCGGTTTGAGTACATAAAGTCATCATCTTACCTAAATAGTTTTTACTTTTTTCCATTTCAGTGATGTTAATATTTGTTGATCCTTTGGGGATCGTTATTACTGCGTTGTATCCAAGCACTAAAAGCAATGAWTAACAAATAATTAAGTAAAAAAGCTGCTTTCTGTCATCGTTCCTTTGGAGATGTTATATTTCATGTATTATTTGTCCGTTTGACAATAACAGTAAATCTATATTTATCGCGTTTTACCTAATTTTCCTGACGACTGTTTCRAAGTAAATAATCCAAAAATCTTTTGTTTTGGTCTACTKGCGGGMGAAATGAAGCATTTRCCGTTTTCACAACCRTTGGGCGGATCCTGAAAGAACAGATAATTATTCAACATACGTTTCATCTAAYKT